GTTTAATATTATCCCGCCTGACTGCATAGAGCTACATCTAAGTAGGTTGTTAAGGGGAAACAAAACAAAGATCAGGTATCAGGCTTCAAAATAAACTATGATACATCTGAAATTTTAGGACTTAATATCCCCCAAAGGATCAAATGTATGTCAGCTACATACATTTAAATGGGTAAAGGGAATCTTTACAATATTTAGGAAAAACTACTGTGGTGACACATGAAAAGCTTTTAAAGGCAAATTACTCTCCAATATGGAATAAATAATAAAAGATTTTGAAGGAACAGAACAAATATGAAATTTCTTGGCTAAGCAGGGTATCTTAGGGAAAGATGAACGGCCTCCCAAAGTTGTTATTTTTATTTCAGTGCATTTCTGTTGGTATCCTTGACGTGACATTAAAAACATGGCAGGATGCACTAGTAAAATTCAGATGGAAACATAAAAAACAAAGGGTGAGTTCGAAACTTGTGTGCCACCCTACAAATCAGCTTGCCCTGATTTGGCTTATTATTATACATCACATTTAAAAGATGTAATTGTGACAGATATTACAAGTGCAGGCTGTATCTTTGAGGGCACATAATGTATTATGTTTATGTACCACTGGGGGCAGGCTAGGGTGACCAGATAGCAAGGGTGAAAAATCGGGACAGGAGGTGGGGAGTAATTGGCACCTATATAAGACAAAGCCCCAAATATCAGGACTGTCCCTATAAAATCGGGACAACTGGTCACCCTAGGGCAGGCTGAGTTTGGTTCATTTTCCAAAAGCGATTTAGGAGCCTAAGAGCCATTTTCAAAAGTGACTTCATCCTTGTCCACACACAAAAGTTGTGCCGTTTTAGTGCTTAAGGTGTTACAACCCACCTCCATAGTGTGGACGCAGTTATACCAGGATAAAGGTTTCAAACCAGCAGAATTTAGTCCTGTAAAGGAAGGGGAACAGCTGTAGTAGTATAAGCACCTTTATCCCAGCGTAACTGCGACCACACCAGGGGTTGTACTGATTTGTGTATACTAGTAACGAGCTCCCCTCCTGCCCCCCCAACCGATGCAGTTATTGTGATACAAAACCAGTGTGCAGCGCAGACCTGAGGCACTTAGGAGCCTAAGTCTCACTGAATGGAAAGGGGGCTTATGCTCCTAAGTCTCTTTTTTAAAATGGGGCCACCGCCTAATCGCTCTTGAAAATGTTCCCTGTTGTTTCATCCCTTCCGCTGTGACACTGAGCTACACCTATGAGATCCAACCCTTCCCAGGAAACCATTCCTGACTTGGAAATACAGGAACCACACAAGCACCTGATCCTTTGATAAGCCTGCTGGGGTAGTGTCAGAAACAAGTAGCAAATTGTGACACTACCCATGGATTACCATTGAAGATAGCACATTATGATACGGCTGCAAAAAAGAGCATCCTTACAGGCCAGTGACTGTTCATGGTAGCAAAATGTGTCGGTAGCGGTTGTAGTGACACAACTGCAACACAGCAAGCAACTTCTCTACACGAGGGTCAGACAATGCTGCTGAACTAGCAGCAACCAGCCTGGGGCCCTTTCCACCAGGGGTGGAGTGAAATGCCACTTGTTTGCTTACTGCTCCTGCTTCACTGATACCTGAAGCAGGGGACAAGGGCCTTAGTGCCAGGTGTGCTCTACAGGGATAACAACTAGAGCTATTCAGGAATCAGGAGGTGATCCCCTCCTGAGCTATTCAGGAGCTGCACCCAGCAAGGGCCAGATAGGCTTCTTTCCAGGACAGCTGCAACATATCCTCAGGCATGAAAGGGTTGCCGAGCTCTCTGAATTTGCTGCAGGTCCTAACCCTTTGGAGTTGGGCAGCTTGGCATCAACGGGAGCTAGATCCAACCCTCAAAGTCCATGACTAGCTACAAATCCCATGTTGAATTTCCCCAGAGTTCAGAGGTTTGCTCAATCAGGGGCTTGAGTTTG